GGACGGCGGGACAGACGGGCTCATTCTCAACCTCGCAGCTGTGGCTGCTCCCAAAGAGAAAGAGAAAAGCTAGCTGAGCTTCTATTCCCTTTATACAAACCCCAACCCTCACACAGGAGGGTTCACCCCACACAAGACTGCCAGAGGAGGGGCCAGGAGGGCAGAGCAGTTCTGTCCTCTCTCCTGTCCAAGAGCCGGCTCCCCCGCCCCCACCCCCCAGTTCCCATAGAAGTGGGCGCCCCCCAAAGTGCATCTCACTCCCTGTCGCTCTGCCCCCCAGAGAGCTGACCTGCAGCCTCTCCCCACGCGGGCAGAGCCCTCTGAGCCTCCGTGACCTGTGTCCCCTCTGCCTGGGGGAGCTGTTTGCACCCACACATTCCAGAGGGAGCCTCTCATGGGAACTCTGGGCCCCTGGGGGTGCGGGAGGGGCACTGTCACCCCTGAGCACCTGGAGGGGCTCCCCACCATGTGCACTTACACCCACCTGCCTGCAGGGGGCGGGCTGGGTCATTCCTGCCCCCATTCCACAGACAGGGAGGTGGGGACTCAGAGAGACAGGGCCGGGCCCAGGGCTCCGGGTGCAAACGGTGCTCAGACCAAACCCTCATCTCTGACCCTCAGAGGCCTGGGCTTTCACCTCCGCCTCCTGCTCACACTGTGGAGGCGGCACAGGCCCCTCGGCGGGAATTAGGGAAGCGCCATGGAATGAGGGACACGGACACAGGAACCCAGGGCCCTGGAAGGGACTCCCTCTGCAGGAACCTGGGACCTGCCTCTGGCTCGTGTGTTTCCAGGACGAGGCTCTGCCGAAGCCACTGACTTAGCCGACCACCAGCTCAGGCCCCTTCCCAGGCGCGCTCTGCTGTGGTGGTGCCAGCAGAGCCCCCAGCGAGGGGACAGCAGCGAGGAGGGACCAGCAGGGGCCCGGGTCCCCTCCCTCGGGCGGAGCTCAGCTCCTGCTGGAACCCCTTGCCCTCTGTTAATAGAGTCCCAGGTGTGTGCCCCAGGCTCCCCCAGCACCCGGCTCCCCCTCCTGACCAGCCGGGGTGCCCACTCGCCCACCCAGGGCCGGGCAGGGCAGGGCTGAGCATGCGCACTGTGA